ATGAAATGTCTGAATGAGTGCTCATCCAAGACTGGTGATTCCATACTTTTTGCCAGGGGTTGTAGGCTTAGTGTTTTATCATCCTGCTGAGCATGGAGACAGGTTCCATATTCCTGCTCAGGAAGGGCAGGTTCTGTTTTATTTCAAACACACCAAGTGTAGAAATGACTACAAAACACTGACTCAGCATTCACACAAAAACAAAGCCCTGACTGTTAAAGAACACCCACCCCCTCCAAAGATGTAAACAGCAGAAACACTTTGAATAAGTTTTATTCTTTTTTGTCCCTTATACATCTGTACAATCAACAAATCAATTGAAGGTGAGTCTAGCAAAATCTGATTTGTACAAGTTATTTAAATGCTTTTGGGCACAGTTGTTTAACACCCATAATTTGAAAAATCAAATTACGTTTCTAGCTACACACCACCATACAATCTCAGCTGGAGAGCACAGAGGAATGGGCAGAATGTCAAACTAAACAAACAAAAATAGTATATTTCCCTTCAAATCTTTTACGTCCCAGTGTTATATAAACGTACAGTCAATTTCCTTATTTACAGAAAAATGAACAAACCCTAAGATGTGGTAAAGGGACTGTGAGGAGGCATGTCATAGGTTCAATAAATCCGTAAGTGCATTAAAATAAAATTGTGATTCAAAATAAGGGGAAGCATCTACTGCTCCAAATCCAGCAGCAACATCCGGATACGTTTCTAAAATCATGATCGGGGTGAAAACCTTCGTCCTACGTCCCAAACCTAATGTTTCCTAACACAATGACATTACATCTCCTCAGCTGCACGTCTGCAGTTCGCTTTGTTGATCAGATCATTCCTGAGGAACCTTGTTGAAAACTCTGGTTTTTAGTGTTGTTTCACAACAGTTTATCTGAAATGTCAAATAAAATAAAAAAAAAAAACGTTTCACCCATGTCCCTCTTCATTATTCAAAATAAAGCTGCCTTATTGCTAAAATGTCAGATTTCAGTTTCATGGAAGTGTGTACATTAAAAAGACCCACCATGATCACGTAGTCAGAGAAGCTTCATGTCCCAAAAAAAAAAAAAAAAAACAGTACAGCAGAAGTCAACACAAACATCTAGCAGCCTTCTTTTCCTCAGAGTGTTTTAATTCACACCGAGTGGATTTACAGTTCTGGACCGATTCAAGATTAAAACAGTCCTTCGTTCTACGTTTGAAGGACTGAAGATGTGCCAACAGTGAACCGTTATGTTCCTGGGTTTCAGTCAAGCATTACAGAATCATCTTTTTCAGTCAGACACAGGGCGACCTGTGAGCACTGGTCCCTCTGAGGTGCACCACTCCTCTGTCTTTGGACAGACAAGTTCACAGAAAGGCCATCATCTCCCCCACACACACTGACTTTACTCAGAAATGGACCAGGACCAGGACTGCACCTGCAGCTTGATAATCCACTGTGATCACACATGAAAGAAGAATGTGGGCTAAAACACTTCAAATGATCCTTTTATTTTATTACAGTTTACTTTGTTTTAAAAATGATCTTTTTTTCTTTCTCTAACTTCGTGTGACATGATCAAAAGCTTGGTTTAGTAGAAGTAGTGCTGCGTCCCTGTAGATTATGCCTGAAATCAAGTTTATAGTTTGTTGAAAACAAAAAAGAAAAAGACAAAAATCAAAGTGGGGGGAGGGGAACACAGCTGAGGGGGGGTGGGTCTTCTCAGATCCACCAGTGCCTGGTGGGTTCTGGTTCCTCTGACTGTTGACCAAATGAGAATAATTTAGGAGGATGGGTGTGTGAGGATGAGACGACACCAGGAATTCAGAATCCATCAACCCAAACAGCCAGGTTCCTCTCTGCCAGGGTCCGGTTCACTGAAATCACCTGCAAGAACAGGACAAACACTGAAAGACAGAGCAGGACACTTTCTGTCTCCTCCTCCTCAACAGGCCTGTAAATGATGAGACGAGGGGCTGCTGTAAGCTTTCACTCATCACTCATCTGCAGCGTTGGAACCCTTGAAAAGTAAACTGCTGACTCATCAGCTGTGACAGATATCTTAAGCTGGTCCTGGAGATTCAAATGTAGCAGGAGGAACATCAGAGCCAGTCAAGTTTATAAAACTTCTGTAGATTTTGGTAAGTAGCTGTACTCCTCTGACTGATGTTTCTGTAGACCCGATCTCCTTCAGTGGTATTAAAGGGATCCCCGATTAGTTTTAACATAGACTTTATTTAATAAACATTTATTTTCACTGTAAAATAAAGACAGTAAAAATACTGTAGGTTGTTTAGTTTTTATCATTTTTAAACTAAAGGTTTAAAAATATATACACACAAAGCATTCTGGGTAAATGATGACGTGGATAGGTCCTCGGTG